AACCTAGGTTTATTCCCACATGTCACAATTGTGGTGCACTAGGACACACAAGACATAGGTATCATAAACTTGATACTAGAAGTAGAAGTAGGATATCTCGAGTAAGGTTAACTTCTTCGCCAATCAAGTTATCCACTTAACTGAGATGATGACTCAACTGACTAGGATTACATCTGCTTCTAAAAAAGTCTTGGTTAAGAAAAATGATCTTCCTAGGTCTAATGAACAATTGGATTGCTATGTTATTCAAGTGGAACTTAAAGCACAAAATAACTTTATGTGGGATCTTGATAGTGCATGTTCAAGACATATGTGTGGTAATAAAGCCTTGTTCTCTACTCTTGATGATTAGAATGACGATATGGTTACTTTTGGAGACAGGGCTACTGCACCTATCCTAGGTAAATGTAATGTTAATATATCTGGATTACCTGCTATCTCAGATGTGTTTTATGTAAAAGGTTTAAAGTCCAACTTGTTAAGCATTAGTCAAATATGTGACATTGATTTTGAGGTTAGTTTTGTCCAGAAAATGTGTACTGTGTATGATTCTACTGGCATCGTTGTCCTCGAAGGTGTAAGAACTTTTGACAATTGTTATGGACTTCTTTCTAATATCAACTATGTATGTAGCAGTGCCAAGATTCATGTGACTGAACTGTGGCATCGATGTCCTAATCATATTAACTATACGAGTTTGTCTAAGCTAGCTAAGAAGGAACTTATTAATGGTTTACCTAAACTTGAAAAAATTGAGAACACTCTATGTGGACCGTATTAACAAAGTAAACAATTTAGAGTAAATCATAAATAAACTTCTAAAATCTTGACCAACAAGCCGCTAGAATTACTCCATATAGACTTAATGGGACCATCTAGGACCGATAGTCTTGGTGGTAAATGCTATATTTTGGTTGTGGTAGATGATTTCTCTCGATATACATAAATTAAGCTGTTGAGAAAAAAATCTAAGGTATTCGTTCTTGTCATATCATTGTGCAAAAGACTTAGAAATGAGAAAGTTTTCACCATAACTAAAATTCATAGTAATCATGGGAAAGAGTTTGTGAACTCTAATCTTGAGAACTTCTATCTGGATGAGGAAATCCAGCATGAGTTCTCCTCACCGATCACTCCACAACAAAATGAAGTGGTTGAGAGGAAAAATCATGTGTTTCAAGAAATGGCTATAGCTATGCTTCATGGTAAGGGACTAACTATGCATCTTTGGGGTGAAGCCATCAATACTGCGTGTCACATAGTGATCAGGGTTTACCTTAGACCTAAAACTGATAAGACACCGTATGAGATCTGGAATGGTAAAAGGCCTACTGTCAGTACTTTCGTATGTTTGACAGCAAGTGCTAATTATAAGAGATAGAGAGAATTTGGGCAAGTTTGACTCCAAGAGTGATGAGGGAATTTTCGTAAGATACTCTAGAAATAGTTGAGCCTGTCGAGTATATAATTCTTGTACTCGGGTTATGATGGAGTCCATCAATGTCATGATAGATGATGCTTGTAGTGAAGGAGAGATTGGAGGAAATTGGGAAGAGTTAGATCACTCGAATGTAGATACCGTCATGGTCACTGAACCTTGCTTCCATCATCTCCAAAGGAAATCACTTAATCTTGGGTCACTGTATTGGTACAAATTACCAATTGTGACATTGGTTAACTAGGAAAATAGTACGTTGCTTTGAAGTCTATCTTGGTTGTATTGTTTGAGGTCAGTATGTGTTGTGGCTATATGTATACTCTTTAAGTATATTATTTTTTCAATTCATAAAGCTTGGATTCATCATGCTTTTTTTTATTTTTTCTGCAGCATTTGTGTATGAGCATCATGAAGGATATTGCATTTCATAGATATAGCACTCCTACATCCATTGAGGCCCAAGCCATGCCAGTTGTTCTAAGTGGACGGGATTTGTTTGGTTGTACGGAAACTTGTAGTGGCAAAACTGCTGCATTCACCATACAAGTTTTTATTTTTACTTCCACTTTCAATTTTGTCTGTAATTTTATTTATATGGACCTCTGGCATTAGTATTGGCTCCTATGAGAGAGTTAGAGCAGCAAATAGAGAAAGATGTGAGATCGTTGATTTCATGTACTTTATGTGTTGTCACGTGTTTTCCACAACATGAATTTATGCCGCAAGTGTACGGTGTCAAGTTTTGTAATATCATGATTGAGTTAAGAGTATCGAACCCACAGGGAATGTAATCTAATTTCTACCAATTACTATAATTGTTTCAGCTTTTACTTTCTCTAGACGCACAAAATATCAATTCAAGGTTTTTATCCTAAACTAATATGAATGTGTAATAATATAAATAAAATGAAAACAANATCCTAAACTAATATGAATGTGTAATAATGAAAATAAAATGAAAACAATTTATAGGAGAATGTTAATGCGAGGAAGCCTAGGGATTGATTTCACCTTACTATCAATTTCGACTCAATTATGCCTAGATATTCTAATCAATTTTCCCATGTTTGAAAGAAGGAATTCTAATTCATTTCTCTCCCCTCTCTCGAGTGCTGGCTAAAAATTAATCTTAGAATTCAATTTCAATATCTCTATTCTGAATTAAAATCAAAGATTTGTCAAGTTCATGATTCTTTTATGGAGTAAGGTTCATAAATCCTATAATTTCTCTCGAAACCCATAAAATCTACGTTGTGTCAATCATATGATCGCGCCTAAAT